CAATACATGAGCCTTTGGGAACACCCTCAAACCACCAAAGCATGGCCACTGCTTATAATCATGTCTCTGTTAGCAATATGTAGCAGGATATTTTCCCACTACATTTGCAATAAAGCTCAGTGATTGGGCAGTATGAGAGGTAGGTGGAGTGAGGAGTTGGAAGAGGAGAGGAAGGGGAGGAGGGAGAGAAAGAGGCTATCAACCATGGAGGAGGACAGATGGTTTGAGAGCAGTCCTGGGTAGCAACTTATCAAAAGGTTAGATATTGGGTAACAATTCTAATTTTGTGGGCATCTTGTTAATTGAGCATTTCCAAATATATAAATCCATTGGATAATCTTTAAGCACTAAGAGTCTTCATTGTACCAGGTACCGCTAGGATGGCAGGTATTGTCTGGGGTTCAGCTGAGCTTTGTGGAGATTGCATGGTAAATTGGCAGAGCCAGCCACCACGCTGGCATCTCATGGGTGCCAGGGCTGGTGTTTCTAGCTACCTGGAGCCACTGTCAGAGCCGGAGCAGTGGGAAAATGGTGGCTGCCCAGGAACAAGCCAGACCAAGCGCCATATTCTAAATATCTCCCATTTCAGCAATATGTGCTAAGCTAGGCTGGTAAGATAAGTTGACAGATAAAGGTGCTTGCCAGAAAGCCAGACAACCTGAGTTTGATTCCCAGGGCCCTACAACAGTGGAAAGAAGACCTGGTTCCCACAAGTTGTCTTCTAACCTTCACACATAAACAGTGGCACATATGCCAACTACCCTCTCCAAGTAAATAGGTAAAAATTGCTTAAAGCACAATCCTGTTTCTCTACCAGAGGACAGAAAGCAAATAAGTTCCATGCGGCAGAAGAGCCCTTTCCAAGTCTGACGGCCACCTGACCTCAGAGTTTCCACCCCAGAACTGTAAGCAATATACCTCTTCCATTTGAAATAAACAAGCTGCCAATTTTTAATAAAAAATGCCATGCCCTCAAAACTTTCATGAATAATTACAAGCCAATAGATCTGAAATGTTAAGAGCAGCAGTCGTCCTCCTTATCGAACTCAGCAGACGTCCAAGCGACACAACAGAGCTGATCCGCTCTCTACCCAGTAAAGAAGTAGGTGAGAACTCGTGAGAGGGGACACTTCCTACAAAGAAACTGCAGGCCCAGCACCTTCACTCAGGTCTAGAACCATCAACAGTCCTTTCCACAGCTGAGAATAAAAGCCACTCAGACAACTCTGCTCTCTTATCTGCCTGAAGGCAGTCATGGCTGGAAGTAATAAATCATAACCATGGCAGGGGAGGGGGGTCCCAGGCTCTTCATAAGTTAATTATTATACCTGAGGGAGAAAAATGCCCATCGTGTACAAACCTAACCAGACATAGGAAAAATAAATAAACAAGCGTTTTGCACCTGTTTTACGAAGCCAGACAAACCACTGTCCCAAGTGATGACATTTTAAGAAAGTCATGTAACAACTACTATTATCCTCAGGGCTTTGTCGTTTCCTGATGACTAATACTGTTGAACCCTGTTTCTTTGGCCTGTCTGCCACCTAGAGACCCTCTTTTATAGAGTTCTTTTATAAAATACTAGCCTGTGGAACTAGTAGGCTCCCATCTCCTGATCCTGACAACCAGGACAGCCAACAACAAGCATCACCGTCTCAGGCTTCAGGGGCAGCAGGGAAGATAGGCCATGACTGGAAGGGGGGTGGCACCTTTACCAGACCTGCAGAACCAGTGGGCTCAGCTCCAACCACAGTAACAGAGCAAATGTGGGCCCAGAACAGTGGGCTGAAATTTAAAGTAAAACTCCTATTTCAACATGAAACTCCACAATTTCTAAGTGTTAGAAACTTATGAATCAGCCAGGAGTGGTGGTGCACAACTTAACTCCCAGCCCTCGGGGAGCACAGGCAGGTGGATCTCTGTGAGTTCAAGGCCAGCCTGATCTATAGCATGAGTTCCAGGATAGCCGGGGCTCAGTTATACAGAGAGACACTATCTTGAAAAACAAACAGTAAATAAATATGACATAGATAGATGGATGGATGGATGGATGGATGGATGGACGGACGGACGGACGGACAGACAGACATAGATACATACATTATATAAATGAGTTACTAAGCTCCGCCATCCATGTTCCCAACCCCAGAGGACCAAATGCAAGCACATCCTCAGCAGGCACACCACATTCTCTACCAATGAGATCATCATTTTCAGTCATTACTCTGAAGTGGAGCTTCTCTCTCATCAGAGGGAAATGAATTTGTTTTGTTTACGGTGCTGGGGATTGAACATATGAACTCACACATGTTGGGCAAGCACCCTACCACTGAACTAGTACCCAGTTAGGGAAGGCCATGCTCTTATCTGAAAACAGAGCTGATGCAGCAGCCTTGTGGGCTAACTTAAGCTTGTGCCATTATTCATAATACAAAGACAGTATCAAATACTCAGAAGATGACTGAAATACAGGATGCCTGAACCTGGGCCTGGAATTCTTTCACAAGCCTGACCACCCCTCTGTGAGGTAGGGCCTGCAACTGCCTCATCTTACAATGAGGAAATAGAGGGTCAGGGAGGAGATGTTCCCACTGGTGCCCATCTGACAAGTCACTGAGAAAGATGTCAGCCCTGCTAAACTTAAGCCACAGGTCACGGCCCCTATGCTACATCCTGGGGGGCAGGGGCTCATATCTACCCGATAAAGGGCTGCTCCCATGGCTCCCCAACCAACCACAAGAGGCCACTGACCTGATCTCAGCTGATAAACCACCTGCCCTCCTCCCTTGGGAGGCTCTTAATCACTTCCTGCAAGGAAAGAGGTCTTAATCAGCCAAGGCTGGTCTAGCAGCCAGTGAATGGTTAATTAAAACAGCCAACAGAGATGACAATGAAGCCTTGGCAGCCACCCCAGGGCTAAGCCAGTCTGCTCTGTCCCCAGCTTCTAGTTGGCACAGCTGTGCATCCAAATCAGCATAAAACCGTAGAGCCTGTTCCCCCAGCTTCCAAGGTGCAGAAGGAAAACTAAGGCATGCTAAGCCGAGGCAGGTAGGGGCACCCAGGATACTACAAAGGCATTGGGGCTTTCCTGGTTGTCAGAGCCAAGGAACAAGAGTCCAAAAAAAAAAAAATCTAGTGTGTAAGGGACAGAAAGAGCTATCTCCCTGTGTGGCTAAGAGGTACCAACTTGAGGAGAGGGAAACCATGAAAGCTCAGGGTGTTGGAGGAGGAAGGGTCACTCATCCGAGCGAGCAATGCAAGTCAGCGTTACCAAGGAGCCTGTCAGCACATCCTGCCAACCACCCTAAGAGACCACGCTTTCCCTGTGTGCTGCACTAAGGCTGGGAACTCCCACAAGGTCAGAATCGCCCCAGATCCAGCTTGCCTCTGTGGCAAGCAGCTGATCTCACCCACTGGCAGTCCCATAGACTAAGGTAACTATCCAACAAGTCAAAATGAAAACAGAGAAAAGGAGGCTCAGCAAACACAGGGGACTCTGGGAAAACCAAGCAGCCCGAACACTGATTCCCCTTAGGAAGGCGTAGGATGCATCCCAGGAGAGCTACAGGCCACACTATAATCTACTGACACTAGCAGCCGAGGTGAGTGCAAGAGCTGGCAGAAGCTGACTGACAGACACTGAGGCCTTTGTGCCAGATTCTTAGGATTAGCCTCCTCCTTACCTGTCCTTGTCTTGGCCTGGTTTGGTTTTTGAGACAGGGTCTAATGAAGCCCAGGCTGGCCTCAAATTCTTATCCTTACGCCTCCAACTCCCTAGTGCTGGCATTATAGGCATGTACCACCATCCCTGGCTCCTTCGCTGGCTTTTAAAGGAAACCTGGGAGCACTAAAGGAAATTCAGTGTGAAATTCAGCACTGAAAGGAATTCCCCAAACCCAGTCTCTTGATCCACAGAACATTCATTTCTGAAAATGAGCTACTCGTTAGATAAACAGGAATGAAAGGTTTGCTGAAGAGCTGAGAGAAAGGAAGGAAGGCCTAGAATCAGCTGTGGTGGCACACTGTGTCACCAACACAGACAAGGCTGGGGCAAGAGGACTGCAAGCCCAAGGCCAAAGGCTGAAAGTTCAGCAGGTAGCCCCATTGGCCTCTGGTGAGGTCATATGTCATGAAGGCATCTGACAAGAATGTGTGTTCAAGGTACACAGGAGACCCCTGTCTCAAAGAAGAGAAGTTTCAGCTGGATTCCCTGAACAGACACTCCCACCACATACACCTGCTCTGCCTTTCTGGTGTAAGGAGGACTAATGGGAAAAGGCCATGTTTTCCTCAGCAGCAATGTGTACATCACCACGGGGCAAGGAAGAGTCAAGAACTAGAGACGGCACCCACAAGGGGGCGGGGGGGTCTCAAAAAACCTGGCTTTGAAATGTAAAGGATGAAGAGACGCCCAGCCATCTCTGTATAACACAGCTCATTTCCAAGTTCATGGCCAGAACAGAACCCTCACCTGCCTGTCGGCTTCCTTGCCAACACAGTGGAAGCAGCAAAGCCATGCCACTTCTGGGAAGTGCAGAGTTAGCTTACATCTAAGACCATCCAGGGGCCAGAGGCCCACTAAGCACCAAGTGTTTCTATCTTCAGGGACAGTGTTATACAACACTGAAATGGATAACAGCAGAACTCTGAGCTTTGAGACCTGCAGGGTTTCTGGGGCTGCTGAAGACATTTAATTTGCAATGCCATACTATCCCCATGCATCAAATTAAAACAGATTATTAATTTCCCAGTAATTGCTACCCCACACTGGTAGTATAAGCACTGTGGCTGTAGGCCACCAAACCCAGAGGAGCTGGTGACACGTGGCTCTGAGAATCACGTGCACAGAATGGCTTCCTTCAAGTTAAGGAGCAGACAGTAGTGGTTTTGCGTCTGTATTTCACTCCATGGATTTCTGAGTGCAGCACATGCCCAGGTCCTCACATGAGCCTGCTATGGAGAGACTAAACTAGCAGCAAGTCAACAGTGGTGTCAAGTACCTGTCTCAGTTTTGCTGGCGAAGCCTGCCGCCTGCTTGATGGCTGCAGCCGTGAGTGCTAATCCTCGGCTCCTCTTCATGCCATGCTGAAGGACAGCTTCAAACTGGGCACACAGACAGGTCACCCTGCAGGAGAAGCAAGGGCTCATCAGTCCACCTGGGAAGGGAGCAGCAGCACAGTGGGCTCCAGAGCTGCAGGTGAACTGCCAGGTGTGACTCAGGTGACACCTGGATGTGCAGACCTGGGAAGCTCTGAAAGCCCCACCCTAACTTATGTGAGCATCACATAAGTCAGGACTACCCTCAGGACCAGTGCTGGAGGAACCACAGAAGGGTGCCAGCCAGTAGCTGATGCAAAGCCAATTTAAAAACAAATCAGTCCTGTGGGGAAAGGCTGGTGTTAACCACATCCAATCCACAAGTCTCAACTCTTAATTCCCATCCCACAGTTCACAAAGCACAAAGCAAGATGACATTCTCAGAGGCTGAATCTACCAGCATGGCCAATTGGAAACTGTCATTTCATGGCCTGTTACTTACTGCCATGTGAATTCTTACTTTCGTTCCTTATTGTATTATAAGAGATTACATCGTGAATGCCTATCTAGAGCTAACAAAATTTTCAATTAAATTACAATTGGTGTGCATTTAATTGGATTTCTCAATAAGCAAAGAAATGGGAGATTCAGAACATGCCTATGAAGAGATGAAGTCAGAGCAACCACATTCTCAGGTCCTCCCTAAGCTCTTAGGCCTCTGCCCAGGCCACTCTGAGCAGTCACTGTATAGCTCCTAGGTACTAGGCCTTGTTCTGGGCTTTGGTAATACAAAGGTGGGAAAGATGGTGGGACACTGTGGGGCACACCTTTAATCCCAGCACTCAGGAGGCAGAGGCAGGTGGATCTCTGTGAATTCAAGACCAACCTGGTTTACATAACAAACTTCAAGCCAGGCAAGGTTACTTAGTGAGACTTGCCTCAAAAATGAAGGAAGGCAGAAAGGAAGGGACAAATGAATGAATGAATGAATGGTTTTAAGAAAAGAGAAAGGCACAGAGAGACGGGGGGCTGGGGGAGACAAACACAAAGGAGACAGAGAGGGCCCCATCCTAGAGCCTTTGCACTGCTGAGGGAGAAAAGTAAGGACAGAGACCCCATAGAACATTCCAGTTCCTCAGAACTAGGAAGAAATTGCACAGGGTAGCATGAGGAGTGAAGCTGCATCTGCCCAGGCCAACATTCTGTGCCCAGATGGTAGTAGCCTTGGAGTTACGACCTCACTATGACAAAAGGCAGCAAATTAGACAGAGAGGCCCAGTGCAAAGGCCATTAGACCACCCAGCATTTAGCTCCACCCATCACCATACCTGCCCCAGTCCTGTCCAAGGGTAATCACTCTGTGGGTAGTGAAACATCTTCACACCTACTTCAGTAACACCTCCAACAACATTATGAGACCTGGTAAGGAAGGTTCTATTATCTCCAAACTTAACTCCTGACCTCCTAGATGGTCTTTCCTGGACCATCTGTAACCAGGAGGGGTCTGGAACCCACTAGGTGCCCACCCCCACCTTGTACTTCTCCATGATTACAAGGCACAGGTTTCAGGACCCACCCACAATGAGACCTCCCTCTCTGTGGGGCAGAAGCAGTCTTCAACATTAGCCATGTATTTGCCACTCCTCTGTACACTCCAGAAGGCAGGCAAGTATTTGAGGGTTTCCTGAAAACTGGGGCAGACGCAGAATTACCTGAAATCCACAGGAACCAACATTGGAGCGAGACCAGGGCCTGCTCTTAAAAAACAACTCAAGAGTGTGTTATTAACTGAAGCCTCTAGCTTCAGGTGAATCTGGGAAACTCAACCATCCGTTTAACAATCCCTGGCACTTTGTTTGCCTCCAAAGCCTAAGTCAGAAACTGCCTGGCCAGCTCCAGATAAAACCAGGCCTCTGAGAGGAATGGAATGCAGGCAAGCAGCAATCCTAGGTTTGTAGGGTTCAGTGGCACCAGAAGTCCTGCCTCCCCAACACACACAGGTTACAACTAAGCTAACACAGCAGAAAAACCCAGCTGAGTGCTACTCTGTAATTACTTATCATGACACCAAGTCAGAGGCCATTCCATGTCAACAGGCTCTAGGTCCCTGGGGGCCTCTCTGTTTGACCTAGCTAGGAGTGTGTCTACACACTCTGTGGCACACACAGAGAGGCTCCCTGTAGAAACACGTCAGGGAAGGCTTTGATTGTTCCCTGCCTTTGCATGTAAGGTGCTAATTCATACAACAGCAAACAAGCACCAGCTTTCCTCCATGCTACATTTTCTTAGGTGAGTCTGTATTTCCCAGCATTCTCTCTGCTAAATGTTCTTTAACTTCACTGTAGAAGGCTGACTGCCTCAGTGAAATTATCACACCCAATTTACATCTAAGTTAATGAGTTGGGACATGTTCTTAATGAGTGAGGTTCTTAATAACATTAGATGTTTTAGTCTAAAAAATCATCTAATAATATCACCCAGACTTCTGTGCTTATAGCTAGCTGCTCATGGGATGATTAGCTAAAATGTGATACATCTTTACAATAGAGTACTACTTAGCATCCACAAAGCTCAGTTCAATCCACCACATAAAACCAGGCATGGTGATATACACCACGGTACACACCCAGGTAGTGGTGGTGTAGAGATGGTGGAGGAGGTGGAGGTAAAGATGGTGATGGTGGTGGAGGTGGTGGTGGTGGTGGAGGTGGTGGTATTGGAGGTGGTGGAGGACGTGGGACTAGGAATCAAGCTTAAGGCCTCAAGCATAGTAGGTAGGAACACTGACCCACATCCCAGACCCACACTGGGACCTTTTAGAGAAAACTAAATGCAACCTCAAAACTAAACAAGATTATCCCTATTTGTAACACCAATGTAATGTGTTGAATGGTGCATTAACACTGAGTCAATAGCACCCCTAAAATCCACCAATGAACAGCACCAGCTGTAGCACAGAGGCAAGATGGCATCAATCAACCACCCTTGCTCAAGCCAGGTCATGAACACGATGACCATTTGAAACGGACTGTAGCAGAATATCTCACACACACACACACCACTACATTTTACAATAAAGCTCGGTAATTTGGGAGGAGCTAATGTGGGAGAAGCGAGGAGAGGAAGAGGAGGAGCAAGGAGATGAGGGAAGAGAGAGGTAGCAGCCATTGGGAACCACACATGGGTCCAGAACAGTCCTGGGTAACAATTTATATGTTAAGGTTAGGTATTGGGTAACAACTCTAATTGCGTGGGCATGAGCATTACCAAATATATAAACATAGGAAAATCATTAAGTATTAAGAGTCTTCATTCTACCTGGTACCTCGGGATGGTGGTATTATCTGGGCTCAGCCAAGCTTTGTGGAGACAGAGTGGTAGAGTGGCAGAGCCATCTCCCATGCTGGTGTCTCATGGGTGCCAAGGGCTGGTGCTTCTGGCCGGCCTCGGCTGCCACAGAGCCGAGCAACAGCAAGAGCACACTGCTGCTCTTGGCTTCAGTTCTTGTTTAGTCAGGAACATGGCAGCTGCTTAAGAACAAGCCAGATTGGGTGCCGCTGTTTTAAATATTATCCTCAACAATGGACCACATCCTACATGTATGAATTACATGAAGCTTTAAAAAACGAAAACATGGGCTGGTGAGATGGCTCAGTGGTTAAGAGCACTGACTGCTCTTCCAGAGGTCATGAGTTCAAATCCCAGCAACCACATGGTGGCTCTCACAACCATCCACAATGAGATCTGATGCCCTCTTACAGGGTGTTTGAAGACAGCTACAGTGTACATACATGTAATAAAAAAAAAAACCCGAAAACATACAAATAAAGAGTAGCATGTTTCAGACCAGCAAGATAGCTCAGTGGGAATTGCACCTGCATCCAAGCCTGAAGACTGGAGTTCAATCCCCAGGATTCAAATGGAAGAGAGAACAGATGCCCCAAAGTTGTCTGCTCATTTCTACGCATGTGCTGTAGTATACACATGCCACACACAAAATAAACATACAATAAGATGCTTAGAAAACACAAATACAAATAATGAAATCAATGACATCAAAAGGTATTTTATTTCATTTGATTTATTTTAGTGCGCATGCACACTCACACATGCCACAGCACACATGTGGAGGTCAGAAACAATTTGTGGGATTTGATTCTCTCCTTCTACCATAAGGGTCCCAAGGATCAAACTCAAGTTATAAGACATGGTAGCAAGTGTCTTTACCTGCTGAACCATCTCAATGGCCCAAGAGTAGCTATTTTAAGTACAGACAAAAGCGATATATTGGCTAGTTGTATGTCAACTTGACACAAGATAGAGTCACTTGGGAGAGGGACTCTCAATTGAGAAAATTACCTGTGTGCCAGGAAGCAGAAAACAACAGCAAATGCTTGTATGTACTCATGTATGCATGTGTGTGCAAGTGTGTGCTTGTGTATGTGGGTGTGTGTATGTGTATATGTTTCTGTATATGTTTGTATACATGTGTGTGCTTATATATATGGGTTTGTGTTTATGTACACACATGTGTGTGCACATGTGTGTTCTGTATACATGTGTGTGTATTTGTGCGTGTACATGTGCACAGGTTTATGTTTATATAGATGCCAGAGGTCAACCTGAGTTGTCACTCTTTGGGAACTGCCTGCCTAACATGTGAGACAGGATTTCTCATGGAATCCGGCACTCAGTTCGTCTGCTAGGCTGGCTGGCCAGAAAACTCCCACCTCAACCTAATCAAGATTAGCCCAATTGGCCCACAGGTCAGTGTCCTAGGTGATCCTAGGTCAACTGGATGGCTGAGATTAACCACCACACTTCCTGTCCTAGTTTGTGGTCTATTGCTGGAAAGGCTGTGACTGAAAGCAACCCCTGGAAAGGGTTTATTTCAGCTTAGATCTCATAGTGTGTCATGAAGGGAAGTCAGGGCAAGAACTGAAGGCAGGAGCCAGAGAGGTGCAGTTGAGATCATGAGAGTGATGTTTACTGTTTGCTCCCCACGGCTTGCTCAGCTTGCTTTTTTACATAACCCAGAACCACCTGCCCAGGTGTGGCAGTGCCCACAGGGGGATGGCCTCCTACATC